GGGGGAAATGATTATATAATTCGGCATCTCTTCAATTTTCTGTTCAGTTGTGCTTCGTTTTTCTTGTGATTATTTCTTTCCTTAATTTGGCTTCTTGAATAATTAATCCTTCTTTACTGTTTGAATTAAAGCATAAAAGAGTTTAATCAATATCTATTTTCTCAATCTTCATACTGCATGGTCATGAAGTATTAATTAATTGGAGAATTTTAAGACATACGAAGTTTGGTTCTCATCTTATACTAATTGTTTGTGACAGCTGCTATGCTAAGTTTCACCGATTATTAATTTGGACGTAAATTACTACCTGTAATATCTAGGCATAAAAAAGAATTAAGACCTCTAGTTATGATAAAATCATGGACAAACGCAAGTCATCCTCTTAAAACAAATACTTCAATGAGTCAGAAAACTTAACTTACTTCATACAAAGTGCGTTTGGTTCAAGGATTTGTGACATGATTCGAATCATAGTTCGTGACTCGCTACAATATTTTCTCTCACAAAAAAACACACATAAATCGAGAATGATTCTGAATCATGATTCTGAATCCATCAATCAAACGTCCTCTAAGGTTCTACCCATCTATGCCCTTTTTTGAGACCCTCAATGAACGGGTCAAGACCTTCTTCGAAGCCCGTGGCCACATAGACCACAACTCTTCGAGGTCGTTAACAATAATTTATAATCCTTAATTTGAGTTCATAGGGGAATTGTATCCCTGACACACTAGTTGTAAATCTGGATGACCTAAGAATAATAAATATGATAGGGGAAAAAAATGTAACAAAGCATACGAGCATCCATTAAACTTTTCCTGTAAACTTTTTTTTTTTCTAAATAATAATTTAAATGGATTTGCACATGCGTCGCTATTATAGGTGTATCTAAATACACATCTATATAGCGTGGCTATTATAGGTGTATCTAAGTATAGTAAATAAATTGAATAAAAGGAACAAATGGAAAAATTTTAGCCCAGTAGCTAATTGTATTTTATCGAATTTTTTTATTGGCATCTAAATACTTAGATCATAGCACTAAATTAATATCTCGAATTTCAGGATTAAAAAAATCCCTTACCTCACAGCCGTCATTTTTTGAGATTTGAAATATCCTTTATGTTATTTTAAATAAAAACTCCAAAATAATTTGTTTAATAAATAAAGTTCTAAGGATATTAAAAAAAGTCAGGGAGAAAACAACGATTGTGCCTTTTTTACATAATATTGCGGTTTCCTTTAAATGAAATTAAATAAAAACATTTTTTTTTCTATTTTGCTATCTTTTTAGACTTATAAAAGGCATAAAAACATTTTTTATGTAAAAAATAAAAATAATGCCACAAGGTATACTCGGGGTATTTTAATAAGGGAAAAAAAAACCAGAAATCCACTCAAATTATGGTAAAACTTATTATGCATTACTTCACTAAAAAATAAACAATTTCATTCAATGAATATAGAGAAAACGAAAAGCCATAATGACACACAATTATTTAAAGTGGCGTAAATAATATACCTGCGTGAAACTACTTTTCTCAAAATCAAATACTATGATTAAATACTGATATTAATCCAATAAAACAAATACTAACATGATTAAGTAGTTTCCCCTTAACAGTAAAATAATATAATAATAATAATAATAATAATAACGCTAACTATGCATGTGCACTGGCTAAAAAACCTTTCGTGTACCACGTTTCCTATTGTGAATTTTATTTAATAATAAAGCTAGACAAGTTTGGAATAGAAAACTGCAAAGAAAACACAACCAATGTAAAATGCAAGAAAAAGGAAGTCTTCTTGCGCATAGTTTAACAAATAATATAGGTTTGAATTTAATTCTTCCACATGTTTGAAGTTAACCCAACTAAATAAACAAGTAAAAATTTGAGAGTTTATTAAATATGATATTATCATGCACACATCTCGAGTTCAATATAATTGGATGAAATCAAAGAGACAAATATACAGCTACGACTACTCGGAGTATTTTGAATCCGGATAAATTGTCTTTGGTTTAAACAAACGCCGTAATTAGGATCCACTTAGGTAATTTAAAACATGGGTTTGTGTATAAATATTTCAGTAAGTAGATGGCCGGAAAGAAGACACCAAATAATGCAAACTTATATATTGAAACACACTTAAACTAATATTATACACTTCTACCAAAAAGAAATACCTATAAATTACTATATGTTTGGTGTACATTTTTACTATAACCTTTAGAATGGGACGTAGATATCTCATGCTGAAGCATGGGATTACACACAACAAACATAGTTAGAGCACATTGTGAAAACATTAGGGACTTACTTGTAAAATTTTATAAAATTAGGAGCCTAATTGTAAGTTTCTAAAAATTGAGATTTCAAATTGTAATTTTTATGAGGAATATATTTAAAAAAATTATATTTTACACCTCAAATTTTAAAAATTTACAATTTCACCTTAAGTTTTAAAGCTTTTTGCAAAAATATCCTTATCCTATTAACACAACACGGAACGTATAATTGGATCAAACTAAAATTTAATATATTCTTTCCTATACACTCCAATAAAAAAATACCCTTATCCCCTAAGATTTTCCTATTCTGCGCCCCAAACGGGCCCTAAAAGCACTAATTTGATCATATTAAAAATAGAAAGTAGTGAGATGATCAGTTTGCTCACTAACGAACTCAGTACATTCATGGAATTTGAAGCTTCAACAAGTTCCTTCATAAACCTCAAGACATAATATGCACAATATTCATAACTTGATGGTTGGATATATAGGAATCTACAAAAAGATAAATAAATAAGTAAATGTATTTTGTTTATAAAGTAAACCAACAAAAGTATACTTGCTGTTCATGTGGATCAATAATAACAGATAAACATCTAATGAGGCCTAATCAGGCAGAAATTTAATTAAGATGATCTTATGAAGTAAAAAAAACAAATATCATAAACCCTAGAAATATTCCAACTTACTCGGTGTTCCAAGATGCAATTAATACTTGACCGTATAGCATGCTCTTCATTCTATGTGAGATAGAAGCTGCACGTGAGCTACATTTCTCAGCCTGTGTACTAATTTGGGAGGATCCATAAAAGCAAAGCTACTTTTTTTTTTTTTTTTTTTTTTTAATTCCTAGTTGTTGTAACTTATTGTGTACAAGTGCCTAGAAACCAAAGACACATTATGTACTAAATATATAACTGATCAATGTTAACTAATTAAGAATGTTTAATGAAATTGATTCAAACCTGTAGTAAACAGTTATGGCGGGCGCTCCAATTTGTTGTATTGTACAGAAGTGGACAACATCACCCTTCACAAGAAGTAATTCACACGTAAAACCAAAAAATCCCTTCCTCCATTTGAATGTAGGGCTGTACATAATTCCGAACAACCCGCAAACTCAACCCACTTCATCCCACCCCAACCCAATTTGAAAAAGGCAATTTGTAGCATTATTTTTTATTTTTCAGCCTACTAAATGTCTAGCGCAAAGTGTTTGGGGCAGTTTGTGGGTTGAGCCTATAATGGCCCGCATACCCCAACCTAACCCATGTTTATGTTTGATGTTGGATGGACTACTTTACTTCATGTTTGATGTTAGATTGAACTTTGAATTGCTATCTGTTTGATGATGGACTCATCAGTAATATTTTTATTTGATGATGAACTTTGAATGTTGGAGTTATGTTTGATTATCAGTATTATTTCTATTTGATAATGAATTTTGAATGTTGGAGTTATTATTTCTATTTGATGATGAACTTTGAATGTTGGATTGAACTTTAATTCTTTGAATGTTGAAACTAACCACCCAACCTACCCCGCACCGCCCCAATTCAACCCAAATATCATTGGGTTGTGAAAATTTTCTAACATTGTTGGGACCAAATATATACAACCTGCACTTTTTATGACAGGATAAGAAAAAACCCTACCCTGCACCAACCCAACCCATGTACAGCCATATTTGAATGCTCAAAGTTTAATCATCTTTCCAGTGACTTTCCTTAAAATCATCTTAAAAGAAGTCAGTGGGTCAATGATTGTCTCCTCCGTGATTAATTGAGTGTGTACTTGCAACGTTTCATTGATTGTGCCTTGCCTAGGATGCACGATGGTTGGTTTAGGTGGTTAAGCGATTTTTGTTTTTAGCGGTTTTTAAAAATTTCAGCCCGTAACTGCCTAAGTTTTAGGTGGTTTTCTAGCGAGCGGCATGGGCGGCGCCTTGGGCGGTTTGAGTTTCTTATCTATTGTTTTTGAAACATTAAGGTCCCGTTTGGTTGGGGGATTCTGGACTAGAGATTGGAGTCATGTGCTCAAATCCATGTTTGGTGTCGTATTGGGCTGGGATCAAGACTTGAGTTACTGGTCACTTTTTGGGTCCTAATTCAAAATCAGGCCCTCCCCTGATTCAGCCCAAATCTGAGTCTTTGCATGGTAAATGACACTGTGCTCTGGAGTTAATTTCCACCGCTCTCGAGTAATGAGCAACACCCAACTTCATGTTCTTTGGCAGAGAATCCCTACCATCCAGCCTTCCGTCGTGTCTTGGCAGAAATTCTCTGCTTTCTCCTGTTTCTCCTTCTTTAATTTTCCACTCCTCTCTTCTCTCATTTCTTTGGGCAATAACCGGGTAAATAACTCAAGTGGTCTTCTCCTTTCTGAGTTGATGAGAATTACTTCGAGTAAAGCGCTGCTCGTGAACAAACGACCGAGGCTTCACATTCGGTACCAATTTTGCCGATACTACGAAAGTAACCCCGCTTCACGCCTTTGCCAGAGAGGAACAAGACACTCATCGAAATAATATAAAAAACCTTCATCCGCGTTTGGTGTTTTACTGGCAGTGACGTTAATCTCATCCTCAGAGTCGAACGCTTTACCGGTAAGTGATTCTCACATTATTCAAATTTGTATGGTAAT